GTTCATCAGTGCCTTGGAGATGTGCAGAATCAAGGCTTTGGAGTGCCTGGATCATCCACCCAACGTCCATCTTCACTGAGGGACTTTGCCTTTGGAAATGGCCAAACCTTTGGTTTGAGGGCCTGGAATGAGTCCAACCTGGGCACAACTCACATGAAATTAAGCTGTAAGTGCACAGGATTCTGTTGGAATGAAGTCCCTGTGGAGATTGGTTGCTGTGGCTACTTAAACCCAGTTTTGCTGAGCTGGTTTGATACACAGAGAATTTGGAATTTTCACTATAGAGAGATAATATATCTTGAAATAGATTCAGGATATTCATAGACTTCATTGTCCTGTCCTATAGGGCAAAACCCTGCATCCTGTGCCTTACCCTCTCCTTTTAATCCCAGGAAACAATAGCCTTGCAGGATGAAATCTCAATAATTGATGCCTTTCTATCCTTTCACACTATATAAACTGCATTTCTTTTTGCTTTTGCTTGGACTTCACCATTCCCTCGTATGCAGCAAAGCAATCCATTTGGTACAGGTGTATTTCCCATGTTGTCCGTGGGACATGCTCAGACAATGTGAGTAAAAATTGAGCTTTGTGAAGCTGTGGGGTGGCAAATTAAACATTCCTGCAGTGTACATCCCATCCATTGAAAAATGCCCATTATATTTGTGCAGGATATATAAAGTGTGTGTGGCCTGGCCTTGCTGGAAGCTTGAATGAGCCAGAATAAGAAGATTTGGCAAATGCTTGAAGAACCAAACCAGGTCTGGAACCATCCAAGCTGCTCCAAAGCTGTCCTTTCACATTGACTTTCTTGTTTTTCTGGCTAGTGGAGAATTTCCAGGGCACGGGATGCTGGTGGCTGGGATGCAAATATAATTTCCTGCTCATTTTGCAAAGGGTGGGGGAAAGGCATCTGTTGGCTTGAAGTGGTTTTTTGGTTGGTTTTGGAGCTTCGTTTGTTTGTTTCTTATTCTTCAATCCCTGGAGTGAAGTAAAGCCCTTTTTACCCCAACTTGAGTTACAGCACCTTTTTAGCCCTTCCTCTTGCAGCGAAGCAAACTGTGGCAGGACACCAGAGAGGGGACAAAATGCCACTTCCAGAAGTGCCCAGCAGCACCTGTTGGCTTTTCCCAGGGTCAGCATGGTTTGGGATCAGACCTGCGGGCAGGTGGATCCACCTGCAGCCCGAAAAAGGAGCAGGATGGCTCTGGATTTGGGAAAGGCTGGATCCTGCCGGCCTCTGCCTGTGCTGTAGCCACTGGAGGGGGCCGGAGAACCGCGGTCCCTGCCTGGGGTTACAGGGACAGCGCCGCTGCCACCTCCTGCCTTGCCCCTCCTGGGGGATCTTCAGGCCGTCCTGAATCTTTTCCACCTTCACACCGGGCTGAAGAGGGCTTTTTAAACCTCTCATTCCTGCCCCTGCTCCCTTGGTCGCTCTGGAAATGCAGCTCCTCAGTTTGGCATGCAAGTAGATGTAATGCCTCAAAATGTTTTTAAAAATTTTGTTCTTTTGTGGCATTTTCGCTGAAAAACTCCCTACAAGCTTGAGCAGCAAGAGTTTCTGCTGGTTGCTGTGTTTTTGCTGAGGATTAGCATGTGTACCTGAGGATTTAGTCCATGCAGCTGCCTCCAGGCAAGGGCACAGTCCCTTTTTTAGGATTCCTGCTTTTTTTCCTCAGGAGATGTTTGTCTGATCTGCTGCCAGTGTTTCCTCTGAAGGCAGAACCAGAGTTTTTCCTGAATTGGAAGAAAAGGATCAAATGGTGTGGAGTTATGGTGATGAAAAACAAAGCCAAACAAGCCTTAATCTTAAATTTTAACACTTCCAGCCTCGATATTATTCTAATTTGGATTGTCTCCCTCCTGCCTCTTCATGCATCTCACCCCAGGCCACCCCAAGTTGGTACCCACAGTTCAGTGACATAATTTCTGTGCTGCAGCTTGGAACTGGAGATTTATCCTCAAACAGGAGAGATCTGTGTGTCTGAGCTGCCAGTTTGGGGACAATAAATGTGGAATTGTTTAAAGGAATTGAATGTTATTTACTTGTGCCCTTCAGGACAGACAAGCTGGGACTTCTGGTCCCCTCTCACTGATTTTCCTGTGTGACAGACTCACCTGAGAGCCTGTCCTTGCTTTTATAACAGCATTGCAACATGGGCTCGTTAATCTCATTCTAAGATCTGCAGCAGCAAGGAAAATATTTCTTCTTGCACTGTGTGATGCCCAAATATTCACTCTGGGCTATGAGAGCTGACCAAATCTCTGGCAGTCTCAAAGCATTTCCTCTAGGATCTGTTGTTCCCACTCCCCAGGCGCTGCTGGGGAAGCCCCAAGTTACTTTACTTTTTATTGCTGTTGTTCTCCATCAGCTCCTCCAGCCTTGTCTTCCTTCCCAGAAGAGCTCTTTGTGACCCCTGCAGCTTGCAACCATGAAGAAAAAGAAAGAAAAGCGTTGTGAAAGAAAAAGAAGGAAAAGGTTCTTGTTGCCCCAGGATCCCTGGAAGCGTCCAAGGTTGGACAGGGCTTGGAGCAGCCTGGCATAGTGGAAGTTGTCCCTGCCCATGGCAGGGGATGGAGTGGGATGGGCTTTAAGATCCCTTCCCACCCAAACTTTCTGGGATTTCATGGAGAGGGCAGTGGCTGCCCAAGCCCTCCCCAGCCCTGCGCAGTGACAGGAGAGCTGCAGCCCCCACAGAGCTCATCCAGCACCTTTCCCATTCCCCCACCTGCATCCAGCACCTTTCCCATTTTTCCCTCTGCATCCCTCACTTCTCCTCTCCCCAGCCCACATGCCCTGCTCTGTTTTCCACCTCTTTTCACGTGTTTTGCTGCTCCCATTGTTGGTGCCTGGCAGAGGCCTGCAGTGTGCTGTTGTTTACAGCAAAGTGCTCTTTGTTTCCCCGGCCTGCAGCATCTGGTGTTTGTGAGAGGCACGGCGCAGCTTTCCAACAGAAACTCAGCCAGCCCCAGCCTGCCTGGCCAGGAGTCCACGTGTGCCACCACAGCCTTGCTCCTAAAAAAGCTCTGAAAACCCCAAAGTGAGACAAGCCAGGCTCGGAGCAGCCTCGTGGAAGGTGTGGAACAGGACGGGGTTTTTAGATCCTTTCCACCCCACAGCGCTCTGTGATTCCACAATCCAGCACGGAGAGATAAATGAAGGCAGGATGGGCAGGATGGAGCAGCAGAGCTTTGTTGATTTATGGCTCCAGCCGCCCCTCTCCCCTCAAGGCATCAGGATGATGGACGAGCCGTGCACGCTCCCCTCCCCGTGGCACAGGCTGTCCATGAGCTTTCCAAACATACCAGGGTGAGGTGATGCTCGCAGACACGGCATTCCCGCTGATGGCGCCTTTCCACAATCAGCTGAAAGCTGCTCGGGGAATTTGGGAAGCTGGGCTCCAGCCATGATGTGCTTGGCCAACCCTGCACTTGCCTTTCATTTTAATAATTTGGCGACATCCATTTATTTTAACGTTTCGCAAAAGCGGGGCCTGCGTTTCCTCAGAGAAAATGAGAGTTGAAGGATGGTAAAATGCCTCCATAAATTGGAAGTTAAATTAAGGAACTGCTTTTAGAGCACTGAGTGCTCTTAGCCCCACTGTTGTGGTGTCACTCACAGCATTGTGAGCCTGTGGTACCCATTGGAGGCACAGGAGATTTAGGAGGCACATGGAGTGGGATGGATTGTTTGGTGAGTGTTTCTGAGCCTGCGTTTGTTTGCAGTTGGGATGTTTTCATGGGTTCACCCCTTGTTTCACTGCCCACACAATGCAGTTTTTACCAAAAATTTCTTTTTTGGGGGATAATTTTAGCTATTGAGCATTTTATATCAGTGTGGGAACAGCTTCTGGAATTTTTTATCCTTTTGATCTTATCTTTACACAAGGAGTGTTTACAGGGACCTGGAGTGCCAGGACAGGGGGGAATGGCTTCC